TCAGACAGACAATGATGTCAGTTACTCAGACAGTGATGTCAGTTATTCGGACAGACAGTGATGTCAGTTATTCAGACAGACAGTGATGTCAGTTATTCACACAGTGATGCCAGTTATTCAGACAGGCAGTAATGTCAGCTATTCAGACAGTGATGTCAGTTACTCAGACAGACAGTGATGTCAGTTATTCAGACAGACAGTGATGTCAGTTATTCAGACAGACAGTGATGTCAGTTATTCAGACAGTGATGTCAGTTACTCAGACAGACAGTGATGTCAGTTATTCGGACAGACAATGATGTCAGTCATTCAGACAGACAGTGATGTCAGTTATTCAGACAGTGATGTCGGTCATTCGGACAGACAGTGATGTCAGTCATTCAGACAGACAGTGATGTCAGTTATTCGGACAGACAGTGATGTCAGTTATTCAGAGGGGAGCTCAGAGAGACACTGGATTTAGCACAGAGAGGTTCCAGCCCTCTGTCTGTCCTTTTATCCCTCCCTCTATGAGATAGTCCATCCATTCATCTGTCTATCTGTTACCCCATCTACCTATTGATTATCTAGTATTTATTGCATATCCATCAGCTTTTCCCTGCACACATATCCTTACATTCCTTCTACCCAAATAGTCTGCATTTACCGTGAGAGAATAAAAACCTGGAGTGCCACGCACGTTGTAGAGAAGGAGGCCAACACACAGTTTTACATCAGGACATGGTATTCTCTGGTCAGGGGCCCATGAAGCGCTTTGGGAGAACAGAGATAAGAAAAGACAACTTAATAAAGCTTCCCGGAGAAGCTGCCTTGTCAAGTAGGTCAGAGGATGAGTTGTGTGGAAGAGAACAGTGTGGTAGAAAAGCCAAGGACTACAGGAAGACAGGAGTAAGAAGTAAAGCACAACCCAGCCCTGAGTGTTGATAAGGACATCACTGGGCTACATGCTTCACTGCTCAGACCTCACTAACATGGCTGTACTGATGAGACCTCACTAACATGGCTATACTTATGGACCCACAGTGACAGGACCTCACTAAGATGGCCGCACTGATGAGACCTCAAGACTACTTTAGTTTCTGGTCATACCAACGGTCTTATAGAAGATAGGTAAGAGGACAACCAGAGGCACACAGCTCCTCTATACAGGATGTGGAGTCAACCCCACTGCACTAACTCCAAATCCTGGTATCTGTCACTAGCTGCAAAGGATTCTTTGTTCTGACACAAGTACAATGTTCCCACACGGTTTGGCCTTCCTACCTTTAGTTCAGACAGACAAACTGATGATCCTAAGTTTAGACACTCTGTATGTCTCAGTAACTAAGACTACCTCTGTTTTAAAGACTTTTCATAGCACTTGGGGCATAATGTCCACCAGAGCCTCTTAGCATCATTTGAAAAGTGAACATGGCTTCCCAGGTTACACATGCTTATTAAGTTCTTGCTTTATCTTATCTCATCCTGAGCATTCTGCTTGCTACAGAGTGGATACTCTGTGACAGCTTACTGACTCTGAGTTGTTTCCACAAATAGAAAAAAAACGCCCTCCGAGGTCACACTGATCTTTTAATGCTTACTGTTAACACCCTGTTTACATGAGACACACTCACTGCATGTGTGTGACGTGTGGCACACTCACTGAGTGTGTGT